AGGAGCTCTGGCCATATGCAGGTGTTCTTAATGAATCTCAATGAGACGATATGCTTACTCAGGAGCCGTGTGCAGCAGTACCTGGCGACGGGCTGGTTCCCAATTGCTGATATTTTCCTAATCTTGACCATGAGGAATGCGTCATCGACTGCACAAGACGCACAGCATTGGTCATCTATTACCAATCACGCTGTCTGTATACAGCCCCAGAAGGCCAAATGGGAAACCAGGGCTTGAATTTAGGTGTCGAATAACCAACCCAAGGGGTTCAATCCAGTTGAGTACTGATGGTATCAAACACAATGGCGTTGTTTTTCGATCCTGCCTACTAAAGTTCGCGTCCGCAGGTTACAGTCGAGTTGGAGGTGTCCCCCAACAGGCCCACCGCGCGGCGAAGCAAGAGACGCAGACGCGGCAAAGGGACGAGTCGCAGCGCATACTGTAGCGGTTAGGCGTCAGGTTAAGAGAGTGTACCATACTACGTCTCATATCGCACAGCACGCGCTGCAACTCGTCTCTTTGCCGCATCTGCGTCTCTTGCTTCGCCGCGCGGTGGGCCTGTTGGGGGACACCCGTCGAGTTTGAGATTCATGATAGTTTCCGAACTCTCACTCGTTTGCCGTGAATAGCGAAAAATCTAGTAATACGGCATGTCGCACTTTACTACCGTATAGGAACATTTCTACTCATGCAATAGCTGCTCTCCACAATGAAAAAGAGTGGGATTTTCATTTGGAAAATATTACACGCTCGATTCCCGCAAGCTAGAGTCTATCAGCTTAAAAAGCCCCGTGAGTACACCGCTGATCGAATTGTTTGAGCTTTCTCCCGCTCTCAATTTATTTATCAGTGAATCTCGCCGGACAAAAAGCCACCCATGTGGACAAAATACTGATTCATACCGTCTTAAATCATATTAGTCGAGGAATTTCAGCAAAAAAGTGTACAACGCTTGCACTCGGAAGGTTCAACTGTGTCTGTTTTACAAGTTTTCTCTCAATATCTCAAACAAAAGACAATACAACTGGACAAAAAAGAAAACAATTGTGACGCATTACTTCCTTCTCACTCTTCTTGGCTTTATGCAGTCGAGTGAAGGCTTTGTCTGTTGTCCGTTTGCTCGCTGACAATTTCGGAAATATTTCCACTTCTTTCATTAACTCCAATGCATTGACGCACCCTTTACAACGTATAGATTAAAATAATTATTCAATTGGAAGGAATATAAATACCCAATCTCAAAACTTAATAGAGGTCAGAAGCCAATTGAAGGGCTACTGGGTTGGGCAAGGCGTCACAGTTCGTTTTTTCCCATGAGCGGCGCACATGAGCAGAATATTCGTTTCACCGATCGCCGCCGTCGATGACTGCACGGAAAAACATTCCCTAGATGTCCCTCTCTTAGCCACCCTGACCGTCCTCAAATATGACCGTTACAATCTTTCATCCCAGTCACCTCATGTGAAACCACCTTGGTTGCTCAGCTTGCAGCCACAATACAATCTTCTTCAATCGCCGCCTAAGCGATGGAGGGGATTCCAAGTAGACAACAGCTCCGGGTGCAAAATTTCAGACCAGGGGTTATTTGCCGTAATGGTCTACATTCTGTCGAGCACTCCGTTGAACTCGAACCGCGCAACATATTGCTGCACCTTTCTTTCATTCATGTGGAAGGCCACTGTGAAAGTTTCCGATAGATTGAAGGTTCTCGAAACGTTAGCCTAATAAAGTTACCTAATCTTGGACGGCTACAGTCAAGTACTCATCTGATCCAACAATGCCAAGATTAAAAGAAAGTCGATCCTGGACGACTGATTCTGTTCTGCAGTTTTTTTGGAGCACTCAAATTCAAAGTAGCAAATTTCTTATGAATTTCTTTTCCAATGCGTACACGAACAATGAGTTTTGCGCCCTTCCCCCCACCTCTGCGACATCAACATTCTCGAATGGGACGCTCAACTAATAATCAGTATTGAGATGTATTACTATCATGATCCAAAGTTCGACTACGATCAATACCCCTTCGTTTTGACTCAGCAAATGCTCTCGTCCTCTACTCGTCCTATTGTAGGTTCCCTAATGTTGCCATGTGCATTTCTAAAAACCTCCAGTCAGCTACGTATGCTTCCAAGAACTTTTCAACATCTTATTAGATTTGAGGACACCTTTCACGAAATGGCTGCCTGTGGTCGAATTCAATTTTCACGATTTCGACGTCAGACTTTTTGCTTATTCGTCAGCCTCAAACAAGGCAAGCGCTCCCTTGCAGGCAGACGACGGACATTTTGAAAGTACTCAGAGCTGTGGAAAAACTCTGAAGGAAGCAATAGCTTCCTCCTCAAGCGCACCTTCAGAAAAGTCATTGGCAATCTTCTCGCCAGACTTTTAAATTTAAATTTGAATTTGATTTTTCACGTTAAAATTTTTTACTCAAAGGGCTAGGCGCCTAATTTTAGGGACTCGCTGTTATTAGCCATCCTAGATTTTGAAGCCAAAAAATGTGTCGCAGAGCCGACGAAGAATCATAATTCTTGCCTTCTGCAAACACTAGTGGTTATCCAATGCTTCGAGGGAGAGCTTCCACAACTGTGTTTACCTCATGGCAGCAGAGCCAGTAGGGTAAATTTGACACGGTAAGGGTTATTGGCGTGAAGAAAACACGTTTGTTTTCTCCATGGCCGCAGACGATTGCGCCCCGTTGGTGAGTTTCCTTTTCGTGACTAGAGCAGTGGTTTCTGGACTTTTAGTCGTTGCTAGACGTCATCAAGCTGGCGCGTAAACCAATAAACTATTCTGACAATGCTCTCAAAATCGCTAAGCAAACTAGGTTATCAGTGGTCGGGCGCATAAAATTCGGTTAAACCAATAGTGAACCCTTGCTTCAGAACGACCTTTTTATGGGAATCATCGAAGAACGCTCAACGCTATCAGGCGGCAGAATCTGAAACTGGACGTTTTCTCGTAATTCAATTGCACTTCTCAGTCGCAATTAGGGTCCGTTAGGTGGGCTTCTGAAGATGTTGCCGCATGCAAAAACTTTTGTACCTCCTTGTCTCATCAATATAACCACTACCTACCCCACCAGCGTCCCAGAGCAGGTTCACTGAGATGAGCCTAACTTCTGCCCAGGGCGCCAGGTATCGAGGTGTTGAAGGAAAATTTTGAATTTTCGTTTGAAAGAATTGATGAAAATTGCGGATTCCCATAATCCTTTCGGGTTACCTAGACCCTAAAACAGTTTTGTGGTTAGATATTTGTTTCGGAGGTACTTTGGCAGCCTATGCTTGAGCTTGCGTATTCTTCAAAGCATCGTTATAGCCCTGAGTTTATCCAAAAAAGCTAATCGTATATCAAAGCAGCAGAAAGAACGCCTATGAATCTCCACAAAATTCCATTGTGATAAATCGTTTGGCCGACTTCAGAGATAACGATTATAAAGTCGTTGACCGAACTTCACTTCAGTTTGGAAATAACCGCTGGTAGTTCGTTATGATAGGTGCGAAAAAGGCATTAGAAAAAAGCTCAGTTATCTTGAATATCTTTCAATGGCCTTCGAAGAATGGCACAACATATATTTGGTTAAGGTTTCGGGGCGCTCATGTCCTTGGGGGGACATCCAAGTGAGTGAGCCAAGTTACTGTGCTTGGAACTAAGCCTTAGGCAGAGGAAGGGATTCTGTGGGAGTATGCAAGCAATATGTGTGCTCCATGCCGTTTCTCCCCTCTTGGGCTTAGTCCTAATGCCACCTTCAATCGGCCCTGTTGTGGATGTCCCCCCCCCCCCCCCCCCGGACATGAGCGCCAGTTCGGTACAGTCACCCTACTTAGGCAGCCTGCATCGAAAGCATATTCTGATATAGCTTTATCCAAAAAAACCGAATTCTGACTGCAAGAACGAAAAACTAAGTGGGAATATTTCACAAGAATGCAGGGTTGTGAACAAAAATTTCGCCCAGAAGGGGAAAAATAAATGGAAACAAGTTGAAAGACGATGTCATAAACTGCAAGATAAGAAGCCGCTCTCTAAAAGGCAACTTTGTTCGAAAAAAATCAGTAAGTTGCAGAAGACATTTACTCAGAGGTTTATAAGCTGCTTCAAATTTCTCAAGCTCTGCAGAATGCGATTCCGAAGAAACATCAAATACAGGGGTTTACTGACATCCCCGCTAGAGTTTTACAGAAGTAATTTGGAAGCTGCACCTCGACCATCTGAGGCTCACACAAAGTCAAACCTGGAGCCAAAGAAAATATAACATAGAATTTGAGAGTAATATAGCATGAAAATAAAGTACGGACAAAAAGTAATATCAACCATAGGCTTTAGAGAAAAATCGTAGCTTAGAGCCATAGAGCCTCGCTCACCTCATTTTTTATTTTTTCGCGAAAGGCGAAAATAGACCAAAATAGAAAACCAAATATAGAGAATGAAGCTTATGCTAACTCGCTCAACTCCGACACCTGACACATTAACTTCTGACCATAAGCTACAGAAAACTGCAAAGTTCCCGTGATACCATAGAATAATCCATTTTGAGACGCTTTTGCCTAAGTGAACCCTCTCTTCGCTCGCACAGTGTTATGCATTTTTTCCCGCATTTCAAATTATTTATACTAATTCCATGGGTAATCTTGGTATGTGTATAAACGACGTAATTCAGATGGCCACCGCGGAGCCCCGCTTACCTCAGTCTATAGTTTTTTCTGGTCTGTGGCCACGTAGCAACCTTCTGGCGCCTTTCCTGTTTTACGGCCAAAATAGGCAAAATGAGAGATCGCCGAAAGTTAGGCGTCGAACCGATCGTCGAAAAGTTAGGCGAGTTCTAGTTTGGAACAGCTTGCATCATCTATCATAACCTTTATTCCTCCACTCTTACTGTGGAACGTTAAGCAAAAAATTCGACCGTCTACTGCTTATAATTTTTTTATTTATTTGGATAGATAGATTTTATTTAGATATTATTCATTAATTTGTGCAACTTGAGCAAAGCCAGAAACCGGAACTCACCGGTAGCGGACGGGAAACACTCCAATCAGAATCATGAACGATGTGGTGGAATCAGCAAACACATAATAGCCGCTAGATCGTGTCCGATCGCTCTTGTCCTGAAATTATTTTTAGTGTCAGCTCCTTCTTAGATAGCGCCAGTCTTTACGTTAGTAATGTAGAGCACTTGGAAAGCCCTGTTGTGAGCTGAACCTTAAACTGAGCAGGAAAAATTTTTGGGAGCTAGAGAAATTTTTTGTCTGGCTAAATCCCCCTGTGGGTTGTCATTCTACAATGGTGGAGTTACTAATTGGTTATTTAGAAAAAGTACAAGCCACATGTCCCAGGGACAAAAGTTCACGGCAATTTGTTTGAGCCGTTCAAATTATGCTTGTCGCGAATGCGGCAGCATGCTTTCATACATAGATTTATTTTGCCCAACCCTGATTCTGAATGTCAAGGTGGGCAATCAATTGAGATACAACGGTGCATGGGTCTAGCGCTAAAAACCGACCCAATTCAGAACCAATTCAATCGCTCTAATAGCAATATATTTGAATTGAACAGATCGCACTGATTGCCGTAAAGTTTTGTCGCCTGCGGCGCGCGGTGTGTACTTTTCCTACATCCCTTGTTTCTTTCTTAGCGACTGGCACTCCATTGTTTTCCTCTGGGAGTATTCCAAAGGGCAACACGAATCTCCATGGGAAAGACGTTGCTTTTGAAGTGCCGCCGCAGAAGAAGTTCACAGGGACGAAACACGCAATGGCCCTTTGGGAGAGTGAAATGGCACACTCATTGGGACAGATTTTTTATCCATCGATTTTTTGTTTGCTGAGAGTTGAGCGTTACCACAAAGCCTTTGTCGAGGTTCAGCACACGGAAGTGGAAGCTGATTTCCACTGAAAAGGAAGTTACAAACTTCCTAAAACTTTTTTCTAAAGTCAGTCAGCTTCAGCTTTCGTGTCGAAGCCTAAAGTTGGCCAGTAAACCGCGAGCGTACTTAACAGGCAACAGTTAGGACCTGAAGGACGCCGCTAACTACCCTACCATCTCCTGGAAACTTGCCGTGTCACAGGATGACTCGTCGTCAGTCTCCGGCAGACACTCGTCCGTGTCGCTGCTGTGATGCCTCGTGATTTTCTCCTGTTGTTAGTTTCTGATTTTTTCATACGTCGTAATGACGCTACCGTAAGATTACTCACCTTAGGATCCTTTGACAACATATCGCCAGCTCGAGTGTGTTTTGGCCAGAGGTTGTCGAAAAACGCACCGCTACTGAATCCCTTGATGGCACGCTAAAATCGGTACAATTGAGTAGGGTGAGGTTCACAAAAAGCACTTCGTTCATCACTAGTAATTTTTTTCGTCCTGCCTCCACATTTCATACTCCCTGAGGGAAAGGTGAGCCATTGCGTGGTCTGAATACACTTTCAAACACTTCTGCTATGCTGAAAGGAAACTGAATACGCGGCGCGTCCCAAAAAAGTTTGGATCACCAACTTTCACTAATAATCCTTTAAGGAAGCGCTCTTCCAAGCCAGTTCTGATAAAATCCCAAACTTACATAGATATGACGGCATAACCGATTGCGGACCTATCCATTTTTAGGATGCGCCGCGCATTCGAGACAATTCCGCACGACCAATCCATTGATATTTAAAGGCTCTCCAGTCGAAGTCAGTGGTTTCAACCTTAGCTAGTCACACATCAACTATCTTACGTAGCAGAAACTGAGTGGCCTCGGCGAAATCCGCTTAGGATTTGATCACCGAGCTGAGCGTGTAATAAAAGGCTCGTTTGCCTTTTAACTACCTTGCCCACAAACTTCGCAAAGAAGAGCGAACAAAGATCCCCCAGAAGAATCAGCTTAATGTATTATTTAAACTCCCCGTTTTTGGGGTGAATATTTCCGCCATGCCAGTCTGAAGTTGTTCGTCTTTTGGAGAGGACATTACGGATGGAACAATGGGACATTATGCGTCAATTAGTAAATTAGTTTCACTGGCCAGGCGTGATTTCAAATACCTTTGTAAATTCAAATACAGTAAGATCAGAAATCCTGAGCTTCACTTTTCAGTGGAAATCGATGAATGAGATGGATATTTGTTACATTATTTGAAAGTAGTTGAAATGTGTGGCGCCCTCTGGTCTCTCCAGTCAACAAGTCACCTTACTTGAGTACTTATTAGAATTTTATTTCATAAATTTTTTCAAGCGGTAATCGACCGAACCAAATATCTCTTTGTGCGTTACATCCCGAAAAAAATAATCCCTTACACTTTTTGGGTGAGGTGGCGACGGAAATTGATATCTGCGTAAGGCGGAAGCTGGCAAGTGACCAAAAACCGATGCGACATTGACAAAGCGTAGCTGGCTATGTGACAACAATGTCCGTGAAGAGTGGTGAAGATTAAGAGGAAAAGCTAGAAGAAGAAGGAAGGAAGAGGAAACGGGAGGTGGCATTAATAGAAGCGTCGGCTTGTAGCCATCAGTGATTCGAGTTCTTGAACGGCTCACTCGTGGCTTACAATGAACGAAAAAAATGTGGTTCAAAAACAATGCAAGGCTCTGAAATAATCCCTTGGAACTTGAACCCTTTCACAAATGAGTTGCGAAAATATTGCAAAACATGCCAGAAAATGACAGCCTTTTTTATTGGGCTTTTAGCGCCTAGCGTTTTTGTCCTAGACTTAAACTATGTTCAAAAGGGTCAACGGCAGGCTTTGTATTGATAGGAAAAAGCAAAGAAAATGAACGTTTGACGTTCGAATATCAAATAATAAAACAAAAATGAATGGGAGAGGTAGTGGGGTGAGAATTAATGCCACTGAGAACGCAGAATATCCCAGGTGCAAATCGCGGATCGAAACCTGGCCTGGGCCAATCAAGCCTTACATCCTTTTGGGGTTGATGAAGTGGTACCAGATGCGACGAATGTGATAAAAATACTAGTTTGTACACCCAATGGGCCCGGCAGTCATCACATGGGCCAAATCTCATCTAACATTAACACTACATTCTAGATGGCATTGAAATGTGTGGCAGCATCCCATAAGGTGAATAGTTACCACGTGTGATGTCCTTGAATATGTCGTATCCCGATCTAAACGTCTTAAGTTAATCGATAAAAAGCAATGTCAAAACGCAAGAATATTATCCGAGGGACATGGCTAAATGCACCGCTTCAACATTCGCACGGCCTACGTCAAAAATTCTGTTGCTTTTTTGAATTTTTTTCTTCTGAATTCTGAAGACTTAGATTGCAATCTACAGTGGTTATTGTTCAGTAATAAGTGTGCCTGAAGGAAAACTGACGAGAACAACGAGGAGAACAGAAATGCTCCATCCGTGTAGAAGCAGGTGTCTATCAATATACGCCGGAACTCATTTTGGAGCTACAAAGTGTCGCACATGCCAAAAGACATACTACTGGACAATAAACACTGTAGAATGCAGCCTAAGTCTTAAAAATTCAGAAAAAAAAATTAAAAAATGCAGAATTCGACGTAGGCCATGTGCCAAAGGTATGGATCACTAACAAAACTTTTTAAGACTTCCCAAGAAACCACCTCTGTTCTCGGCCTAGCCGCCACCAATATGAGATGTTACAAATTCAGTGTTTGCTGGCTTTAAATTATTTCGATGTCCGGTGTAAATCTTCGCTTACGACCAGGACCTTCTGTGTTTACTGCGGCCTTCTCCATACGTCAAAAAAGCTTCAGACTCATGACATATTTTTTCAGAGGAACAAAAGCTGCCTCGCTTGACATACAATCCGTCGTCTCATAGCACCAGCAATGTGTAATTCGCGTTCGGCGTCTACGCCACAGGAGGTTTTAGGTTTCAGTTGGCAAGAAGATCTCGGCAGGATGAGAGAGCGCCTAGAAGACTCGCGCCCCACTTCTAGCCGCTCAGAACTCATTTCGTTTGTTAGGAAGCAATCAGTGCAGTTGCACAATTGCTTAAAAGAACATCGACCACGTATACACGAAAGCCCTAGGGGAATGAAAAACTGACTTCGGGCGTACATAGTGGAAAAAATCGTGGCGTCTATCGCTTTCGTCCAAAACCTTCAGACTCATCTCAAGCCAAAAGTGTTCGAAAAACGTTGAGTTGCGAAACAATGAAATTTCACTTCTCTCCCCTCTCTCATCCCTATAAGACTCCACCACCCATAAGTAACAGATTTCGCCCCTTCACATGAGTAGTGCTTCCCCTCCCCCCGTTCATTATCCCCATTCAAGCCCCAATACGCCAAACAGATCGATGACTCCGGCATCGCGAACCTTTTCAAAAAAAAATCTCCATGAGTCTTCACAATTTTCAGGTTCGTTCCTCAACACCCATCTCTCAAAGAAATGGCGCCGAAAAAGGGTCCAGCGTCGGCATGTTTGCCTTTCCCCTCAGATACGCCATTTGACTCATAAGCTGCGATAAAAGTTCATGACAAGTGCCGGTGGTCGTTGATCGATTCCTTTGGAGTGAGTGATGTATGTACCCTATTCTAGTGGGCTCAATAGCCGTAGATATGTAATACGTTGTGTGAAAAAGTAACAGGTTGAGACACATAACTATCGCGTTCTATTTTCGGATACGCCGATTGCATTCTGCCCTCATTAGCAATCGATACCATATGATTGGGAAGCTTATGGGACCTACGCGATGATTGACTACTTTCTACGGCTTTCACCCTGCTAGACGAGTCTAGCACGAAACTTTCGCGTGGTAGTCTCAGATGGTCTGAAAAATTTCGCAGTATCAACATTTGCAGTTGAACCAATTTTCAGTGTTTCATGGATTTCACGCTTTTTCATTCGCCAAAAGTGGGGGAAGAGTCTTACAGTAGTAAAAACCTTTACAAACAACTCCACCTAACCAGATGTGCCGTAGATCTCAGCGACTTGGCTTCAGAACCGGTAATTGACTTGTCTCTTAGAATCATATGACCGTCAATCGTATGACGCAATGCATAAACTCCCATCCTGAGCTTATCCGAAAAATTCATCTCTTCAGTCAGTTTTAGCCCTTTACCTGATGGTAGCTTCTAATAAGTGGAGAGGACGCTAGTGGAGGCTCATGGGATGCGAGGGAACCTTCAGGAAGGGCAGTACAAACGAGCCCATGCTACTAATCACACTTTCTGGGAAAAAATTCCCTATCTCCCTGCCTTTATCGAGTTCCAATAGTCCTTGGTGCCGTAACCCGTAATTTTCTACGGGAGTCTTTCTTCTCACACTCAAAAAATGCACTTTTAGGTCGCTTCGAAGTTCTCGAACTTCGAGGATTCGTAATTTTAATGAGAATTTCTTCCAAGCACTTCGAAAACTCTTTGGTAAGCAATGATTCGTCGAGTCCCCAACCACTGCTTTCGCTTCGTCATCTTTTCCAGTTGGTTGGCAATAAATCACTCGAGGAGCAACAGCCGCTCTTCTTAACGCCCACTACGCTTGCGGTCAAAGAGTACGTGAAAGACGGCAAAAGTATGAAAAAGAATGAAAGACACAATAAGGACAGGAAGTTCTAGATAGGAGAGCCATCGAAAGCCTTAAGTGACCATCAAAAGTACACGAAAGAAGTCTAGTCTAGAATGTCTTAAAGCCAAAAAATTTCAGTGGTAGTTTCTCAAAAATCACAGAAATCCTAGAAAACTGATTAAAGTACCTCCAGTCGAATTGCTGGCAAGTTGCTGCCTCGCCATACTTTTACATTTTTCACTCTGTCGTAATACGGATCACAAGTGCCATTATCGGAGCAGAACAACGGCCTTAGCCCGTCCGGTGTGCAGTTCGGCCGAATATGCGTTGTTTCGTAGTAGGTCGTCACATCCACCGGTCGATCGCCCATCATACAAAATCTGAAAATTTTGAATTTGAGTTGCTCAGAAGAAAACAAAAATTCTTAGCCACTGCACGCGTAAAATTGAATTCCAATACCAATGTTACCGCGGGATTAAAAAATAAATTGGTCTCCTATTCCATTATTACCGAAAATAATAA